GGGTCCTCTTAGCCTGAATAATGGGAAACAACTAGCGCTTGAATCCTGTTGCTTACCTCATACTCCCTATAAGAGATGGGGCTACGTCAGTGGCTCTCAATCCTGGGCAATTTTGCTCCCCCTTCCCCCCCGCCCCCAGGAGACATCTGGCCAAATCTGCAGACATTTTAGTTGCCACAAATGGAGTGGAAGGTTCTCTTAGCATCTGGTGGGCGGAGGCCAGGGATGCCGCTAAGCATCCTGCAATGCATAGGAACTCCCCACAACAAAAAACTAGCCGACCCAAAATGTCAATAGTACCAAAACTCAGAAACCCTGGACTAGTTGGTTTCTTCAACTAGAAAATGGGCATAATAATAATACACATTAAAAGATTTCAGCACTGTGCCTGACCCAAGGTAGATGTTCAGTACACATCAACTCTTTTCTCTTTCTTGCCCTGACACCCCACAGCCAGGATTTCCCTGTCCTACCGAGATCTGTTGTGAATTAGCAGAAGCTACAATTTAATGTTAAAATGCAGACAGACCGGTTTATATGGAGGTGGGATGGTTATTGATTGTCGCAAATGTATATAGGACCCAACTGGCTGGTAAAGCTGCAAAGCATTCACTGGAATAAGAGAAAAGAGTATCCCACATAGAGTGACATGAACTACTTCCCAGATTTCCAGGGCCCAAAACAGAACCACTTCCAGATTGGCCAGACTTCTCCACCCTTCCAAATCAGATAAGGCACACATGTTAGACGAAAACAAATTCCATTTTCAAAATTCTCTGCTTTGCGAGCGATCTGGGGCTGGCCTGTCTGATCACCGAGCAGCAGCATGTAGACCCTGCATGTGGAGCAGACAGCGTACTCAGCAATAACAGCATAGTGAGCTTCTCCCCAACGTCGCTGTCAAGGATCGGGGTACCCGCAGGTTCAAGTACACTGAGAAGTTATAAGATACCCATGCAGTTCTCGTTATGTAATAGAAATAATATAATTCTGTGTAACAAAGACTCCGCTCCCAAGACCATGGCTAAGAATATCCCTTTCCATAGTCACTTTATTAGGAACCACCAAGCCTGTTCTAGGATATACCGATCAACTGGCCATGAGAGCTGTTTTCTGAGATTAGTGTGGTGAAATTCTATGTGCATCCTTATGCCCGTGAGTGACAGGTGACCCTACTCTATGTCCAAGCAAGGTGGGGGCATTAGTGGACACATAATATGCCTGCACCCTACTTCATCTGGAAAGCCGTCCCTCTTTTTTAGGGCTCTGGGCCTCAGGGTCACTTCTTTCTCAGAACAACTGTACCATTTGTTCTTTCTACTGTTTGTCCTGCAATGCCATCATTTGCTCCTAATTAACTTTGTTATTTACTCCATAGGCATACCTCTCCCCCCTCTGGCTTAACCTGGAGTTCCTCGTTTTGAATGCTGTAGGGCCACAGAATAGAATGCTAGCTTTACATAAATGTGGGCTCCCATGGTGAAAATATCTGAAAGACTTCTTACATAAACTCCATTTCAGCAAAATGTAAATGGCCAATTCCCAAGCATATAGTAGTAGCTCTTGGGAATGCGTTGTCTTTCCTACTATCTCACATAGCTGAGAAAATCAGGTTATCAAGCAAAAGAAGAGCTTAACTTTTGGCTATTTCTGCGTAAGCAAGCATTCAAAACGCTAATCAGTTTAAGTAGATAACATTCCCACAGTGCTGAGGTCCCTGGAAGAACACAAAGCCATTGTGTACAAACCAAATTAATTACCTAAGAGAAAACATCTGAAGATCTGAGCGTCAGCCAGGAAAGTAGGAAAACAAACAATTCTGCCAGGCCCTGAAGTCCTGTGAAAGCCTCATGAATTCAACTGTTGAACTCAGAGCAAGACCCCCAGGGTTAGATCGATAGCTGTGGGATGGAAACATGTCCACAGGTCTGCTGCATTAACACTTACTCATGGTATCTGGAGAACAAGACATTCTGCCAACTAATGACATCTCCATGGAAAACAGGACTTAGCCAAAAAGGATTTGGTAATCGATATTGGACATTCCAGTGTCCGTCTGTGGATTCTAAACAGCCAATCTGTTAAAGTGTCCCTCAAGGAGATGTGGAAAAGACGTGTCTCAGAAACCATGATTTCCACATTTCTAAGGCAGCTGACACACTGTCCCACTTAGGTAACTTCAACTCTTTCTGAGTTATGTGGCTCATGTTATCCTACTTTTAAAAAGAGATCAAAATTCATTTAACTTGTAGACGTTAGAGAATAGCCAAATAACTCCTAGGAGAACAGAAGACATCCAGCAGGAGCTCAAAAGCAGGCCTGTGAACTGAACCACCAGACTGAAGTTCTGTGATTCTAAACCCTCGGTTCATTTTGCGTTTACACCTGATTAGCAGCATGTCCAGGCCTCGCTCTGAGAATGGGTGGCAGTGGAGAAGGACCAAGTGCTCTCACTGATGTGCTGGCCAAGAATAAATGTCTCTGTTCTCTGACCTTGGGATGAGAGGGGGCCCCGCATCTGAAATCCCAGCTCAGCTGTGCTCCACTATCTCAGGCCATTGCACTGATTATTTTAACATCGGTTCCAAGACAATTAGTGGAAGTTTAAAATGTCCTCTTTCCATGGGGGGAAAGGACCTCCTCCGTGGTCATGCCTGCTATGTGAACCATGAGACCTGAAATATTTCTGCTCAAGAGGAGAAGACAGATCTTCACTTTTTGTTGAAAGGACATAATACTAAACCATTTAGCTATTCCCTAGATTTCAAGAGGCCTTCTCAATCCATTTGACAATTACAGTCTTTTAAAACAGATGGCTTGACCAACAGCTTACAGGTATTTTATTTTAAATAGTCTTTCTTTAAGAATAATGTAGAAAATCGAAAGTGGGTGGAGGCTGGGTGCTGAGAGAGTGGGGTCAGCCAGGGAAGGTCATGGAGGGCCTGGATCCCGGATGTCTGGTCTACTTGCTGGGAAATCTTCTAGAGGCTTAGCAAGGGGGAGAGCAGAATTCTACTCCTTCCACCCAAACCCAAGGGGAGCACTGGGGCTTTCCAATTTCAAGGCCCAGGTTGGCTGGTCACAGTGCAAGGCTGGCCTGACCCCTCATCACAAGGAAGGAGCACAGTCTAATGGCACATCTTTGCCCTCAATGCCCCCTAGACCTTCCAGGACCCAAGTGGGAGGCTGGCCCTACAGCACGTTTCCTGGTCAAGATAAACACAGATCTGGCCTCATCTGAGCGTACCAGCCACCACAAGTATTTCCTCAGTGCTTAGTTTTGAAAAGAAATGTTTCAAGACTTTTTCCTTGCGGGGTTGGGTGTAGATGCTGCCTGCAACTCAGACGTGGCCCTGCCTCCTCTAACAATGTTTGAACCAAGGCCCTAACTAGCCGTCCTCAAGTCATGTTAAACTCAGCCAAAAATACCTGGAAAGCTCTACCTAGATCAGTCTACTTGGTTACATATTAACAGGTGGATTTTTGGTAGAAATGAAAATGAAGCCGGCTAGAAAGCATATGCACAGAATAGGAAGTCTAAAAAGCCAGAGCTATGGAGGGGGTTGGTGCCATGGGTCTGCAGCTGCTAGATGGTGGGGGGTAGTGGGGAGCCCTGAAAGTCATCGGGACGGACCGTGTTCTCTTTGAGAGTGAGTCACACGACCCCGCCCCTCCAACCCTTGATGCTTTAAGTTACAAGAAAAACACATTGGTGTTGATACAGGCCTTCGTTTCCCCTTTGTTGACATAGGTTCTACTTTTTATAGTTTTAAGAATTTCTTTGTTAGTTCAGTGTGCTTATGTATATAATTCAAGTCAGACCAAAAGGAAAAAAAAAGATTCTTTATGGTATGAACATACTTGCCTCTACTGTAAAATACCTCTTATGAATGCACACTGGAACTAGCCAGGAAAACTTGCCAAATAGGAAGATGAACAGAACATGAAGGTGAGTTATAGTTGATACGGTTGATATTGAAAGATATCAATATATTTTCACATACTGCATTTATTCAAAAACTATCCAGGTAATACTGGTGTCACCAACTAGGAACATATCTTTTTTAAAAAAATAATGTTGGTACTTCAGCAAGTGGCTAAAAAGAAACAAAACCATTTCTCTACAGAATTCTCTGAATTTCAAGAGTGAGTCTGCGACCTGATAGGCCTCCAGCAGGCCAGGGGCCAGGGAAGGGCATCTGGCTGGGCTGACACCCTCCAGGGCTGGAGAGCAGGGCTCTCCTCACTTCCGCCTGCCTCAGGCCCCCATCTGTAACAGGGCAACTGGCTTCCGGGCCCTGTCTTCTCACTGCCCTGCCACACCTGGCTTCTAGGACCACTCCAGGCAATTTCCGGACCCTGCACCGTTGCTGGGGAAAACCAGGCAGGCACCCTCTCTCGCAAAAAACTAAAATGCATATATCGATTGCCTTCCAATGGAAATGATTTATCCAGATCAATGATTCTCACACAGGAGGGAGGAGCACTTGCTTAGAAAAAATATTCTATTTGGCATTTGGGGAACAGTAAATATTTACTGTTTTTATAAATAAATCTGGACAAATGTGTTATGAATTAAAAATTGGTTAAAAATACTAATTTGAATAAAGGCCCACAGGTGCAATAGAAACTTTTTCTTTTTTGACAAAAATGCTCAGTTTTATTCTTATACCTGGATTCCAAAGAATACTATTGGCTCAACAGATTTTCTGCCAATACACATGTTCCTTCTTGAGTCAAAAAAGGAAATAAACTGAATCCCTTTTTCTCCATTAATTGCCACTGATTATCAGAGTCTTTGGAGAACTGCTGTTGAGATTTCCTAGACAGCACATTAAGCCTGGTTTTGCTTTGTATCACTCTGGGGAAATTATTAAAATAGTAATAAGGTTTTAACACGAATTGCTGATTATTGGGTTAGGTTTAATGTCGTTTCTAATGATTTCCATACTGATGGCAATTCAAAACGAACTGTTATTACTTAAGCTTTGGCCACTTACCTTCTGTCCCTTCACTCCATGGCAGTCACACTTCCCACAGCCAGAGCCAGCACAACCACCCTGGAAGAAGAGGAAAACGTCTTTAAATAGAAGAACTCTTGCAAATTGAGGTCATTTTTTTAATTTAAGTGATTTTGGCATCTTCACCCCTTTATGGGAGATGTCCTACCCTGTTATTATGAACACGACCTTAAAATATGAGATCCAGATTTGCTCTAATGGGGTTATCACGTACATGCCCTGTGGCTTCTCTCTCTTGCCCTAACAGATGAAACAGCAAGCCTGGAGTAGAGCAAATCAAAGCACTACTTGGTCCACAAAGGGAAGGCTGTCATTTATACTTTTGAAATTGCCTCCCCAGAGATTATTTTAACAGGACATCACCCATATTTCCAAGGCTATGATTCTGATTTAGGAGTTTCAGACCTGAGACCAGGGAAACTGAGGACCTGGGAGAGCAGAGTCCATGCTTTGTCCCTCGAATTCCCAAGGACACACAAGCATGCAACAAACATTTATGCAAAGAGGAAATAAATGAAGGAGCTGATGTTAAGCCCAAACTTAAAGAACTGATTTTTAATTCAGATAAAAGCTTGAATGAAAAGAACCCAAGCATGTAATAAAAGCTGGAGAAGAGGAATATTGTCCAGAATAGATCACATATTAGACCACAAAACCAGCCTCAAAAAATTCAAGACTGAAGTCATGCTATGCATCTTTTCTGACCACAATGCCATTCAACTAGAAATCAAACCACAAGAAAAAATCTGGAAAGAGCACAAATACATGGAGGTTAAATAACATGCTACTAAACAATGAATGGGTCAACCAAGAAATCAAAGAAGAAATTGAAAAGTACATGGAAACAAATGAAAATGAAAACACAATGGCCCAAAATCTCTGGGGTGCAGCAAAAGCAGTTCTAAGAGGGAGGTTTATAGCAACACAGGCCTACCTCAAGAAGCAAGAAAAATCTCAAAGAACCTAACCTTACGCCTAAAAGAGCTAGAAAAAGAAGAACAAACAAAACCCAAGCCCAGCAGAAGGAAGGAGATAGTAAAGATTAGAGCAGCAATAAATGATACGGAAACTAAAATATAATAAAACAGATCAATGTAACCAGGAGCTGGTTCTTTGAAAAGATCAACAAAATTGATAAACCTCTAGACAGACTCCTTTTAAAAAAAGAGAGAGGGGACCCAAATAAGCAAAATTACTAATAAAAGAGGAGAAATAACAACCAATACCACAGAAATACAACAGTTATAACACAGTATTATGAAAACCTATATGCCAACAAATTGGACAACTTAGAAGAAATGGATAAATTCCTAGAAACATATAATCTACCAAAACTGAAGCAGGAAGAAATAGAAAATTTGAACAGACCGATTACTAGCAATGAAACTGAATCAGTAATTAAATAAATAAATAAATAAACTCCCAACAAACTAAAGTCCAGGGCCAGAAGCCTTCAGAGGCGAATTCTACCAAACATTTAAAGAGTTAATGCCTGTTCTTCTCAAATTATTCCAGTAGATAGAAGAGGAAGGAAAACTTCAAATTCATTCTATGAGGCCAGCATCACCCTGATACCAAAACCACAGAAAGCATCTCTAAAAAGAACTACAGACCAATATCCATAATGAACATGGACGCAAAAATCTCAACGAAATGTTAGCAAACCAAATCCAACAGTACATTAAAAACATCATTCAACACAATCAGTGGGATTTACTCCCAGGATGCAAGGGTGGTTCAATACTCACAAATCAATCAACATGATACATCACATCAACAAGCGAAAGGATGAAAATCATATGATCATTTCAACAGATGCAGAAAAAGCATTTGACAAAGTACAACATCCATTCATGATAAAAACCCTCAACAAAGTAGGTCTAGAGGGAACATACCTCAACATAATAAAGACCACATAGGAAAACCCACAGCGAACATCATACTCAGTAGGGGAAAACTGAGAGCTTTCCCCCTAAGGCAGGAACAAGACAAGGATGTCCACTCTCATTACTTTTATTCAACATAGTACTGGAAGCTCTAGCCACAGCAATCAATGTAGAGAAACAAAAAATATCCAAATTGGTAAGGAAGAAATAAAACTCTCACTATTTGCAGATGATATGATACTATATATAGAATACCCTAAAGACTCCACCAAAAAACTACTAGAACGGATTAATGAATTCAGTGAAGTCCCAGGACACAAAATCAATGTACAGAAATCTGTTGAATTCCTATACATCAAAAATGAAGCAACAGGAGAAATTAAGAAAACAATCCCATTTACAATTATACCAAAAACATAAAATATCTACAAATAAACTTAACCAGAGGTGGAAGACCTATACTCTGAAAACTATAAGACACTGATGAAAGGGGGGAAAAAATGATGAAAGAAATACAAGATGACACAAAGAAATGGAAAGACATTCCATGCTTATGGATTGGAAGAATAAACATTGTTAAAATATCCATACTACCCAAAGCAATCTGTACATTCAATGCAATCCTTATAAAAATACCAACAGCATTTTTCACAGAACTAGAACAAACGATCCTAAAATTTATATGGATCCACAAATGACCTCAAATAGCCAAAGCAATCTTGGAAAAAACAAACAAACAAACAAACAAACTGGAGGTATCACAGTTCCAGACTTCAAGTTATATTACAAAGCAGTAGTAATCAAAATAGTATGGCATAGAAATAGACACACAGATCAATGGAATAGAATAGAAAGCCTAGAAATAAACATACAATTACATGGTCAATTAATCTTTGACAAAGGAGAAGTGAATATACAATGGGAAAAAGATAGACTCTTCAGCAAATGGTGTTGGGAAACTGGACAGCCACATGCAGAAGAATGAAACGGGACCATACTTTCCTATAGCAAACACAAAAATAAACTCAAAATGGATTAAAGACCTAAATGTGAGACCTGAAACCGTAAAAATCCTAGAAGTGAGCACAGGCAGCAACTTCTCTGATACGGCCATAGCAATATCTTTCTAGATATGTCTCTTGAAGCAAGGGAAATACAAGCAAAAATTAATTATTGGGACTCCATCAAAATCAAAAGTTCCTGCACAGTGAAGGAAACAATAAAACTAAAAGGCAGCCTACAGAATAGGAGAAGATACCTGCAAATGACATATCCAATAAAGGGTTAGTATCCAAAATATATAAAGAACTGATACAATTCCACACCCAAAAAACAAATGACCCAATTTTTAAAATGGGCAGAAGACATGAACAGACATTTCTCCAAAGAAGACATCCAGATGGCCAACGGACAGAGGAAAAGATGCTTGTCACCGTTCATCATCAGGGAAATGCACATCAAAACTATAATGAGGTATCACCTCACACCTGTCAGAATGGCTAAAATCAAAACACAAGAAACAACAGGTGTTGGCGAGGATGCGGAGAAAAAGGAACCCCTGTGCACTGTTGGTGGGAATGCAAACTGGTGCAGCCACTGTGGAAGACAGTATGAAGGTTCCTCAAGAAGTTAAAAATTGAACTACTCCATAATCCAAAAAGTACACTACTGGGTATTTACCCAAAAGATACAAAAACACTAATTCAAAGGGACACATGCACCCCAATGTTTCTTGCAGCATTATTTACAATAGCCAAACTATGGAGGCAGCCCAAGTGTCCACTGAGAGATGAATGAATAAAGATGTAGGATACACATACAATGGAATTGTACTCAAGCATAAGAAAGAATGAAATCTTGCCATTTGCAACAACATGGATGGAGCTAGAGAGTATCATGCTAAGTAAAATAAGTCAGTCAAAGAAAGACAAATACCATATGATTCCACTGATATGTGGAATTTAAGAAACAAAACAAACAAGCAAGGGAAAAAAATGGAGAGAGAGACAACCCAAGAAACAGACTCTTAACTCCAGAGAACACACTGATGGTTACCAGAGGGGAGGTGGGTGGGGGATGGGGATTAAGGAGTGCACTTATCATGATGAAAAAAATAAAGTAGCATCCTGTTAAAAAAAAAAAAAGCTGGAGAGGAAGGGAACTAAGGTATTCAAAAGCGCACCAGGTGCTACAAACAATCACCTATCATACTGTTTGACCAGCTAATAGCCACATGAGGTAAGTGTTACCATACCCGTTTTACAGATGTGAAATATGACTTTGGAGGTTCAATATAACATGCTAACGAGGTTGACACCAACTTCCATTATGTAAAACTGCCAACCCATTAAAAGATCAAAGTATGATGGTGCCTACATACATTTGCAATTCTCTTAGTCAAACCTAAATTTTACACCAAGATAGACACAGGTGTCATAGACAGAATATAATGGGGTGCGACAAGAAGAAGTTTAGTTAATAAGCTTTATTAGAGGCTGTGTATTTGGTCTAATATAAAATGTGTATTTAAATCTGCTTCAAGTGATCACAGTTTCTCAAACATAAGACAATACTATGAATAGTACTGTGATCATGTGAAATCTATTTTTTTAACAATGTACTCAAGGCTTAGCCCTGTTGCCATGGAGATCTTCTGCATAAAACAACTGCATCTGGAGATATTTACTTCAATAAAGTGAAATCTGAACAAGTGCCTCCAAGACAGTAAGCTGTTATTAATTTTATATTTTGGAAATGGGGACAATTGACAACAGTCCAAACAGACTCCATAGATGATGGGACTGTTTCTTTCCCTGATTCACATTTGGGGCAACTTTCAGCATGCAATCTTATAACCTCCTAACATTCTAAATCAATCAAATCAACATTCTAAATCTGGTGACCACTGAGAGTTTTCCAAAGAGGGGAGGTCAAAATTCTCCAGAAGGTTCATCCAAAATGCCCAAAGCTAAGTACTCAAAGACTCAAGAGACGTACCCCACACATCACCATCTCCTGCCTCATCGCCCACCTGAGGGCTGGCTGCGCCCCGCCCAGGCTCCCAGAAGGGTGAGTGATACGCCCCTATTGCAACACCCGTCCAATGCTTCTCACAGCCTTTACTTGTATGCCTACCCTGGGGACCCTGAGAGC